GGTGGCGGTTCAATTATGGTGAGAGAAGGCATCAGTACGAATGGTCATACAGATCAGATTGTGCTTCAGAAAGGCGATTTTATTACTCGACATTATATTGACATAGTATTGGGCTCAGATGTACGACCCTTCCGGATGCAACTTGGCCAGACTTTTTCCTGATAAAAAGTCATACCTGTTGTCATACTGTCAGGAATGTGAAGAAATATATGTCAAGCGAAGACTCACAGGGGTTATGGACTGACCAACAAAGTGCTCTTGTTTCAATTCCATATAATCTTTGGGACCTTATATGTATCCGTGGTATGTTATCGCCTTAAATCCACCCTGCAACTTAAAGAGCTTTAGGTTGAGCTGATACTATACTAATGCAACTATGAATAAACTTGTCCTTTTTATCAAAAATGATTTTTTGAGACAAGCTGGTTCAGTCTCTTTCAAGTCTGACTACTTTAAATGAGAAATTATTCATGTTATCAGAACGCTTATCGAAAGTGGTACTCCTAAAACATGCACTAAGTTCGGCTCTGTTGTTGAAGAACAATTTAAATATAATATCATTTCCTTTAATTATTATTTTTTGGACACTTTATGAAATGACAGAAAAACGACTTGAGTTCTAGTCTTTTAAATATGATTCGTGGCACTTTTGAAATACACTTAACAGTGAGTGAGATACTGCGGCATGTAGATAAGAGCAATGAAACTATTTCTGAATCACTAACACCACACTGTGGTAGAGCTCTAGATTTCAGAGCTGGAAAGATGGCTTGAAATTCGTTCGCTAATACAAAATATTCCAGACCTTGTAAGCTGTGGGTGCGTTAAAATAGTGAGAGCTGATCATTTAGCGCGGGTGTTAGGGTGCTGCTGAATGGTTGTATTTCCTCTGGTCGATAGCTCAAAATTAAAGACGGTGGCAGACAGATTTAGTTGCTTTTCCATGAATACAAATATAAATTCTTTATCTTTTGATAACTCGTCAAATGTTCTTAAATTAACACTATATAAAAAGAGAAGAAAAACTGAATACCATAACTGCCCCTATTTTCAATCAGTGCGTATTAAATACGAAGGATGTTCAGAAAGAAAGAGGATTTTAGGTTTTCCCCATACGCTGGATATGAAGAAGTTTCATTAAATGAATGATCTTGTTAAATGGTTATTATCCATCCACTGTTAGATGATGTTCTTCTAAGAAACTTCAGAACTTCAAAATGTCGTCTAACGACTGCACTTTGGAAGTTCAATAGACATTCCTTACCCATCCCGCAGAAAATTTTAACATAGCAGCATGCGCCCTCTATATCTATTTAATCCTCTCTAAGCAAGTCTGTCTGGACAAAACTCCAGACAACTGATGATCTTAAAGCCGTTAAACACGACTTGAATCTGTATCTTACCGAACTGATATGACGAAGCTCAGGGAACGAGAATAACTAAAACGTATTTACACTAAAGAAACTCTTAGATAAAGATTCACACAAAGCAGAACCATGTGATGTTTGAATTTCAAGTAATCGTACCATTTCTTTTTAACCTTACAAACATCAAGAGTTTAGAGATAGAATACAAATTGGCAGATCGTATCCACCTTTTTTTAAGTAAATTATGTTCAAAAACTGTTTTTAAACGGTGTTAGAATAAATATAAAGATATCTTTTAAACACATTTTATACTAGTAATAATGCACTTCTTTCAACACGTAATTGAACATATTCACTTATGTTCTACTTAACTGACGATTAAAATGTTTACCATTCAGAGACTTTCTGATTTGAAAATACTTTTGTAAATATGTGTAGGATTTCTTTCTGATTATTAACCTGTGAAACATATATTTAAACGGAAATATAAAGCGAATGTCTATTCACCACTATGCACAAATGTTTGGCAAGCTTATTTACTTTGCGAAGAGGTTTTTCCCTTTCATTGGTACGGTGCGTCTAGTGGGAATACAAGTAAACTCACCAATCACATGTGACGCAAAAGCTAATTGTGTTTTCCATTGTATTATTAATGTCAATATGGATTAGTAGTTGACATGATACCATAGCTCTATCATATGCGCCCCCAGTGGCACAGCGGTATGTCTGCGGACTTACAACGCTAGAAACCGGGTTTCGATACCCGTGGTGGGCAGAGCACAGATAGCCCTTGTGTAGCTTTGTGCATAATTAAAAACAAACAAACAAACTATCATATGCAATATTTTCATTATGTTTTATCCTCTATTGAAATAAAATATAGGTAATATAATCGTAGATGATTGGCCTTTCACATATATATATATATATATTAATGCACGTGGCAAGTGAAAACGTGCCATAAAACTTTAATTAAAAAGCTTATTTTCAAATCTTATATTCGGGTAATTTTAAAACTGAAATTTTCATTTATTCCTACACTTAAAAAATATATATGGAATTTGTCAACGAAAGCTGTAGTTCCAATTCCTAATAAAATATTGAAAAAATAACATTCTTCCAGCTTTGAAACTTGAAATTGAATTTTTAAACTTTTTTCCCTGTAATTTTCACTTCTGTAGTCCTTATTAGGCATATCTAACGTTGGAGAGAAAAAAGATTTCACGTTTTTGTAGCATACATATATATACCTGTATATATACGTACACACACACACACAATCGGTTGCCAAAGTTTTCCAATGAAAAACAATGTGAAACATTTTGATAAATAATAGCAAGAACCTCGCATTAGTACCATTAAAACTATTGAGTTGTGAACATATGTTTTTAGCTTTCTCACAAACTAGGTACGTTATAAGTTGTGAACATATGTTTTAGGCTTTCTCACAAAACTAGGTATGTTATAATATCAATTTAATCATACGTACTTTACTTTTTGAGCATGACTTGTGTTCAAAGACAATTTTTTTGCATACATATATCACGTACATTTTTTTTAAATATAGCTTATATATATTCTGCACGTTTATAATACATTTACTGGTCTAACATAGATTCAATTAAAAAACCCAATATATTTAGAATATTTTTAAAATATATTACATTCATTTAATTAAAGTACTATCTATATTCTCAGTAGCATTTACGTTTCATATTACTCCTATACCCTTGAACAATTTTTATAGATTAAGTTACTAAATACTATAATTATCTCATGCCAAACGCATTTCAAACTAGTTAGTAAACACTTTTATGTACTATATGACTTGTCCATAATTCCAGTACGGATCAATTGTTTTCATTATGTCTTGTACTTCGTGTTTACATTCAAGGTAATTAAGGTGTTGTACTTTGTGTTTAAAGTTAAGGTAATTAAGGTGTTATACTTCGTGTTTAAATTTAAAGTAATTAAGGTGTCTTCGCGTTTAAAGTTAGGGTAATTAAGGTGTACTTCGCGTTTAAAAATAAGGTAATTAAGGTGTTGTACTTTGCGTTTAAAGTTAAGGTAATTAAGATGTTGTCTTCGCTTTTAAAGTTAAGGTAATTAAGGTGTACTTCGCGTTT